CTTGCAATAAGCTGTGATAAAGTTTACAGTAAGATAAGGTAAGTTGTTAAATATGATATAAAACTCAAATCAAACTTAAATTGTTTAGGCAAACTTACAGCAACATGCTGCAGCACGATCGTCATATTCCTCATTCACACCAGTTTTCAGAAGAACACAAACATTATCAATTTGGGACTTTAATCACGTGCTCCTGGTTTTGTGAAAACATGAATTTCTTTTGCTTTGTATACTGTAAATGATACATGCACGGCAACAGGTGTTTGAATCTAGCTGACAGAGCTCCACTGATTAGAACAACAATGATTATGTGACGTATTTTCACTGTAATCCAAAATAATTTTTAGCCTCTTTTTACACCAGATTAAGACTTAAACAAAAACGTCTGTAATCACCTAGAAAGTGGACGTTCTTTGGAAAGATTTTCAAAGGATTTTATGAACTTCCTACTTAAGATGATGGAGCACGACTTATCCGATGGTGTAAAGCATTAGCAAAAGCTCCATGGTGAGGTTGTAGTAGCAGAATACGGGAGACATGGTCATGGTATATGTGGGGCTGGCAGCAACTGCTGTAAACTTTTGCATGTTGTGTGTTCAGCATGCAAAAAGCAAAGGTTTGTAACTAGAGAATACAAAGCACAACTGGCCAGGCCGGCCTCATCCTAGAACTACAATAGGTGGGCAGGACTATTAATTTAATTACCACAAGGTTTTTCGGGGTTGGGGTGAAGAACATAACAATGAGGTAGAGGGAAGCATGGCTTGACACACATCTTGTTTTGCTCCATAGTGTTCAACAGTCCACCTAGAGGTACAATTTGCTTATAGTTCCTAATTTGCCCATATATGTAAGGTAATGTATTATATTAAAATACATCTGTATTTAATCTTTAAACTTATGGCTTACTTTTGGAATTTTGTCTTTAATTTTACTACGTGATGCTCTTTCATGATCATCCCATTAATTTCTATTTACCAGCATTGGTCCCTCTCGTCACAAAAACCCACATAATAGGAAGCCTCCAACCCCAAACTTCACAGTTGAGATAGCAGCTTAACAAGCTTATAAATTGTTCCTACAAATGTACCGATATACATCAAACGGGCCATTTCAGTTTTATCAAAGCACTTGAACATATGTCTAGAAAAAAAAAGGTCTTTGTCTCCAAGTGCATTTGCATACAATAAAACTACTTTTTATGTTACTTTTGGAGTAATGCCGTTTTGCTAACAGAATGGCCTTTGAGTAAAGTAGATCCTGGGGTGCTAGCACATGCAAGGTATGGTTCAACCAGACCAATGAACATGACACATTCAGGGATCTAGAAATTCAAAGACTAAACTTTGTAGTTACCTCCCCCACTATTTTCCTTTCCAATAATTATCTTCTATCTTCATCGAATCTTTCTAACTGGTTTGTGTGGCGTTAATAGTGGTGTGAAATATGACTCATAACTTACCAATGGCCATAAAGATTTCATTGACATTCATTGCAGTCTTGGCTGAAGTTTCCATGAACAGCAGGCTATTGTCATCAGCATAGGTTTGCGCCTCCTGGGAACATTATTCATCAAAGTTAGGTTTAAGTGATTTAAAAGTAACATTGGGATAAAGGCACCACATTAAGTCCCAAATATTTAAAAATATTTTCTTTGTGGAATTACATGATTAAATCTTTTACCTGAAATTCCACTGCTCTCTTATCAGCGATGTCTGCCTTGTTGCCTGCCAGAGCTATCACAATGTTGGGACTGGCCTGCCTTTGAAGCTCCTTCACCCAGTTCTTTGCACGTGCAAATGTGTCCTAGTGAACCAATTGACTGGATTAGAAAGATAATTTTTTTACATTTTTATCATGCATTAATGATAGGAGGCCAAAACACACATCCCTCACAGATTATGAAGCTAATGGGTAGTAACAATAGGATAAAAAAATCTAATCACCAATATTAAAATGATGACCTTCCAGCTCAAATTATTGCACATTGTCCTGTTTTTGCACACTGAAATTGATACTCAGTCGGTTTTGATGCAATATTTTTTTTTCATATTTGAAGAGGTTTTATTAAAATGACATTTATAAGTAAATATTCAGCTACAATAATGTTTCCTTACAGAGTCGTATTACTTATAATGATCACAAATTATTTTAACTACACCTTAATCTTGTTCCAAAACACAATCACGTCAATAAAACTAAAACTAGCTACAGCCGTCTGTATTTTTAACAGCTCTTAAATCCTGCAGCTGATACCTACTGTGTTGGTGATGTCATAGACCACAATGGCTGCCTGAGCGCCTCTGTAGTACATTGGGGCAAGGCTGTGGTATCGCTCCTGACCTGCTGTGTCCCAGATCTCAAACTTCACAGTGGTGTCATCCAGGCAGACCGTCTGAGTGAGAAATGCAGCTGAAGAGCAAAGAGGATCAATAAGTTCTAATAAATAAACTCTCATTTTATTATTCAGGCTTGAGAAAGACAACCAGACTGCATTGAAAATCAATTATGTTTACTAAAACACTGTTTCAGTTGCTAAAATAGAAATACGTTGAGCAAATTGGGCCTTCATTTCAAATAAAGTAAACAGATTTGAACTGTTAATGTGTGACTGATGATTAAAAATATAATCATGGCCAAAAGCTTTAAGAGTGAAACTGGTTAGGATTGGCAGGAACCAGGTTTGAATGTTTTTGCCATAACATTGGGATTCAGCCTTTGTGTGGAAACATGAAACAAAGATATTTTCACATTAAAAAAAATAATCAGAATGAACTGACATCTTGCAGGGGGTACCAGGGTTGATCTAAAATCAGACTCAATGCAGGATAGAAAACGTTTTTACTGATCTGACTGTATGATCTGATTGAATTGTCTCTGCAAATGTCTTGAGATGACATGTTGTTCCTTCACTGTTGTCACTCTTTTTTCCCCCCACAGCCGTCAGGCTTTATCATAGAGTGATGCTGTTCTCAAGTTGCGTAGGTCTATGGTGGAACTGTGATGAGGCTTCAAAATGACTCTGCTGTTAAATTATCTCAAGGTGGTAAATTGATAGCCAACTGTCAGTGTGTTTTTTTTATTATTATTTTTTTAGCTTGTATCTTTATTATTTGAATTACTGAATTAACACTGAGGAAAATGAAGGACTTAAGAGTGTGGAATTTGGTGAAAGGACTGTCCAGAGAATAGAAAAGGTGAACCCCCTTTAACAGATCTTTGTCATGCTGAGAGTGAAGCACTCAGAGACCATCCGTGTGTAGAGTTGTATCTTATATGTTGGAAGTTCACCAGTAATTTTGAAACACTTCTATATGGAGAATAATATAATATACATTTCATATTAATGCCCATTTACACCATTATTTAAAGTGGTTTCTTTTTCTCTTACACTGTTATATTCTGATAATTGCTGCATTATTAGTAACGTTGGTAATATTTATCTACTCCAACTGCAATATCATTACACTGTTGTAAGCTGTATGCAACACAATTTTGTTTTGTATACACTCTATGCATACAAAATGAAGGATTAACAACAGAGGACCAATATGGTTAAGAAGAACCCTTTGACAGCACCACGCCACAACACTGCAGCTCAGGGCCTAAAAATCGGCGGCCCTAAAACTGAGAGTCGGGGGCAAAGACTAAGAAACTCCAAAGACCTTAATCCTATTAGGAATCTTTCAGTGCTTTGATTCATTTCTCAAAGCCTTTGAATCATATACAATAGTTATTTTTGAAACTCTAAATATCATAGAAACAATTGAAAGCAATCTCTAAATATCATGAAATTATAAAGCTGGTTAAAAGCATTTCTGAAATCTCGCACATTTTTCGCCAAGTCCGTACATTTAATGCTTCCGTTTATTTAAAGGTTTACTTCCTTTTACCTCCAATTGTGCTCTCCTGGAATTCATGGAACTGGCCTTTAACGAAGCGCAGGACTAAGCTGGACTTGCCGACGGCAGACTCCCCTAGCAGCACCAGCTTGAACTGGCAGATTTTGTTTGCTGCTGCGGCACCATTAGGCCTACTGGCTCCACCACCACGTCCAGCCATTGGTAGTCAGAGAAACTACAGGTCAGCAATCCGAGTCTGAGGATCAATAAAGGCAGCGATCACACAACTGGAGGGGACACCAGATGGATCGTGCCACAGTAGAGTTTTCAGGTCCTTTATGAGAAAGAAAAACAAAAAGGACAAAGTCCAGTTGAGCAAATAGGACAATTATAGATTTGCAGTAACATGTTTTAAGCATTGAAACCTAAAGGAAAATAGTTACACCAAGAAAATTCTATTTTTAATCGATAATTCCATTTTTTTCTGGAAGAGCAGATGGAAATCTACTGAAATAAAAAAAAAAATGAAAGAAAAGCTTCACTAAACCATCACAGCTGAAAAGCTTTCCATGCATATACATTAATAATTATATCATTGTATAGTGATTCAATTAGCTTTTGAGTGGAATCATTCAAGTTTTTAAAAGTTACCGTTAAACTGTTTTAGATTGGCATAATGAAAATACAGTTGAAGGTATGCGAATTAGAGTCCAGTGCACATGACAAACAGAGAAAGTGGATCTCTGTAGCATTAAACCCCTCAATCTGTTACTGTCCACTGCTGCTCAGTTGGCTGAAAGAAGGCTGAAGCATTATGACATAGCTAGCTTTTTTTTTACAGTTTAAAAACATTTCCATTACATTACAGTAAAAATATATTAAACTGTTGAAGGAAAAATACATAAAAGGTAAGGCAACTAGCCTTCAGTTAATTTCAGCAAAGGTAAGCAACTAACTAGTTTTAAGGTACTTTGATCACAATTTTTATGATGTTATTATGCGAGAGTAAAATCAAAAATATTTGAAAGAACATGGAACTAGACAACTGTCACCATTATCTTCAGCTGTCCATCTCTATTGTGTCATGGGCCAGAAAACATCGCTCTGATATCCGCTTAACTCGCAAACTATTACAGATCGAGGAGGAAACTGACCTCACACAGCTAATGTTTGCCTCGAAGCTAACATTTTGTACGGTAAATAACACACTAAAATAAACAAAAATCACATTCTTAAATCTAAAACTCAATCATTGAACTAGGGGTAAATCAGCTGTGATACATCCCTAATGTATTTTTGTAAACTTAAACCGTGTGAGCTAACTAAAACAGCAGCTCTGTAGCTAAAGCTCGATAAGGTGAGTTAGCAAAGCTAAACTACAACATCCTTAGTCACAAACAAATAACTAGCAGGCCGTCCTTACCAAGAAAGAAAGCTAACACCAACTCCACACAACCGATATTTAATTATGCGTGTCTTGCTGCTCGTAAACAATTTCTCCCTAAAACAGTTTCAGGTCCACCAAACTATTCGCTTCCGCTTTGTGGGAGAAAAACACTTCCTGGATTCGTCAGTCATGTGACACAAGGTCAGAGCCAATCAAATGGCACGCTGCAAATAGAGCAGTGGAACGATTTAATATTTCTTATTTAACTAACATGTTCCCAAATGTACGGAAGAGGACAAGGGCCACCGGAAAAAAAAAAAAAAAAAAATAACAATAAATAAAAAAATTAACTGATTTTTAAATATTATTTCAGTTTAATATGGGAAAAAAGTCAGAATTCTGACTTAAATCTTAGAATTCTGACTTTTTTCTTAGAATTCTGACTTTTGTCTGTGAATTCTGACTTTAATCACAGAATCCTGACTTTTTTTCTCAGACTAATTATTTTAATCTCATAATTTTTACTTTTTTCTTAGAATTGTGACCCTTTCTCAGAATTTTGACTTTAATCTTAGAATTCTGAGGTTTTTCCTCAGAATTCTGACTTTAATTTCAGAATTCTGACTTTAATCTCAGAAATTTGGATCTTAATGTAGATGGGCACCATGAATGAAGAGATGTGGGAGCACTCAGCTTCACTGACAAAAATGTGAGTTGTTTGGGAGGGCCAGTAATACATTGGTGGAAAATGAAGGAATTGGGCAACTTTTTACGTGCTCGAGGGATCCTCGGTGATACTATTTCATTAATGGAAGAGCAGAATGTGAATAAAACAAGAGAGCTAATCTCTAAAACAGACATGGCCACGGCTTGATGCTAACATGTTTGTTAGCTGTCAGAAAACAGTCAGAATTCTGAGATTAAAGTCAGAATTCTGAGATTAAAGTCCGAATTCTGAGAAAAAAGTCAGAATTCTGAGATTAAAGTCAACATTGTGAGGGCAAAAAAAAGTTAACTGATTTAAAAATTTTATTTCAGAATTCTGTCTTTAAACTCAGAATTCTGACAGCTAACAAACATGTTAGCATCAAGCCGTTGCCATGTCTGTTTTAAAGACTAAACTAACTCTCTTGTTTTAATCACCTTCTGCCCTTCCATTAATTAAATAGCATCTTTGTGTTAAATAGTATTACATAAAAAATCGCCCAATTCCGTAATTTTCCACCAATGTGTTACTGGCCCTCCAAACAACTCATATCTTTGTCACATCTCTTCCTTCATGGTGCCCATCTACATTAAAAACCAAAATCCTGAAATTAAAGTCAGAATTCTGAGAATAATTTTTTCAGTGGCCCTAATCCCTGGCGATCTCCTACTGTGTTTCTAGTTTTATTATTATCATTATCTGCAGATTTTAAAAAAACTTTTCCTTTTTGAAATGAGTCACAGCAAATTTTCTTTCTCCTTTAGTAAAAAATGATACCACCCTTAAATTAGTACAGTGTGCAGAACTATTTAAAAACAGTAGAATAATTTAGATTTTTTTAAAGGTCTGCATTTTGACACATGGTGGTGCAGTTGTACAGGAAACAAGAAGATTTTTTTTTTACATTAAAGTTCTCCAATACAAAGAATAGCAGTGGAGCATGCAATCAATTGCTCTGTAGCCACTCCTGACACAACAATAAACATCTAACAAAATAAAGAACATAAAATAGGATGAAGCCACTAAATGGAGGCTTATTTCACGAGACTAAGATGAAGGATTAAGCTGGCATTTTCTGGGTACCTGGCTTAATTAATCCTTGACTCTGTTTTTTAAAAAGCAGTAACACTTAAGTTACAACAGTGATTTATTCTGTGCATCAAAGTGTGTATTTGGCATTAAAAGGATAATAAACATATCTTTATAACCTCCTGGTCTCAGAAGAATGGACTAGAACAAGGAGGGATTATTTAGAACAGTTTAACTACTTTGTTTCAAACACGAATGATCATTGTACTGCACAAACAGAGATAAACACCCCTCTGCAGAACTTGAAGATCATTTTGTTAACAGAAAATCCCAAAGTTCAATACATACATTTATTAAATAATTTTACATTATGAGATCATATCTTATCGCTGTGATACAGTTGCATCTTAAGCAACAAGGAGGCAAATGGCCCTGGTTCAGTCCATGGCTCCAGAACCTCGTTGCTAAACCAGGCCTGCCTTTGTTTAAGGAAGGGCAACATGTTCTGCTGGTGTAAATTCTAGGAATTTTATAATTTTGTAACAAAAAACAATCAATAAGCCATATTTTCTGTTTGGCATTTTAAAAGCCAGATGCTATTCTTTATATACTTGGCTTTTCATCCCGAGTGTCCCACACTCATGTTGAAGACTTAAACCAAAAAAAGACCAAATGTTAGTACTGTTGGGAAAAATTGTTATATTCAACGCCCAGCCAGCCTGGATGCCATATTATGTTGTGACATTTTAAGATGTGTAGTGCCCTCCCCAGTAGGTGTGGCAAATATCTTTTTTAATCAGATATTATTTGGACTGTCATATATTGTTTATGAACACACGCCCTATTGGCTGTGTGTTAGAACAATAAATGCAAGTGTAAATCAAGCTCCAATCATGGTCAAACTAATAATTATGCATATACATGGAATAAGTTCACCACACCTTCCATTCAAAATATTACAGTTTATTAACAAAATCATTCAGCTCAAAATCAAACATATTTCAGTTAAAGACTCTTGACTAAAACGAATGAAACTCAACTAAACTAAACTACGATGTACAAAGAGGAAGGGGAAACATGGCTTAAAACCATATTACAGTTTAAGATGGATTTTGTGTTTCACAACCAAAGTTTATCTAGAATAATTTGGGATGTGATCAAATTTTCATTATTTTAGAGTGATTGAAATGTTTTCAAACCAATTCACTATGCAAATTCATGAGGTGAATAAAACATTATTTGGCCAAATAATGTTTTATTAAATGATTTGCTTAATCAGAAACAATAACCTTTAGTTAAATGATTCTTTACCCTCTTTGAAATAGCTAGCAATGAATAGACATGAGGATTCTATTAAATTACTTTTGGTCATAATTTGGTAATGGAAATGTGATGAGCATATGAGAAAATACATGAACACTATTGTTATATCAGTGTTTAAACCCTTAGTGCAATAAAGATTGTCCAAGCCTCTACAACAGCTCAAAACATGTTACTATATTATAGCGTACCATGCGATCAATCCTGTTAGTTTGTCTTTGTTCATCACCAAACACATGAAATGATCAAAATCATCAAAAGACATATTGTTTAACTAGAATCTGTCCCGAACTGTGCCAGATCTTATACCTCTGTTCATGTCCATTTAAGAAAGTTTGAGTTTTCATCCAGCAGCAGCTTAGCAGGGCTGGCTCACAGCAAAGGGGTTTTCTTTGTCCAATGCAGCTCACACTAAGGGAATGGCTTCTTCAGGAGACTTTCTCCTCCAGTACGGCTCTGTAGGTTCTGAAACTAAAAGAAATATGTAGCAAAAAGTATATTTTGCAGTAGTTCGGTTCTGAAATGTCAACCATCGTAACTTATCCTTGGTCACTGTGGAGATCTGGGCCTTTGGGCCTGGCACCATAGTTTTGTACTCTTCCAATGTGAACCCCGCGGGAAGCTTCACAGTAAGAGAATTAAATCCTCTGTGCTGTTTTTTTTTTTTTTTTTTACTGTTCTCAGCTCCGTGGGGGGGCCAAGGCACATCTCTGAGGGAGGTGTCTTGAGGAGCAAGTTGGGGGAAGGTTTGCAGAAGCTTTGAGGGGGCAGAAGCACTGTGGAAAAGAACCCTCTACTCAAGTGAAAATGTAAAGGTCAAAAATTAACATTGGTCCTCAATGTCCAAAATTGTTATCATGGTTTATGGCACAACATTACAAACATATAATATAAATCTCTCTCTATATATCGATAACTTTAGGATCTGCACATGCTGCAACATTAGTTTCAGCCGTTCATTTTTAAGTTAATAGTTGTTTATCTGAGAAAAACTGCAACTCCTGAAATTATGGTACGTTCAGTTCAGAGGAGTGATTAGGAAATGTGTATTTTGGGCTATTTTGGCAATAAATCCAATATTGTTTTCTGAATCAATGAATCTATGATCGACCTCATGGCTGCAGTCCTGCATGTAGGTGCACCAGCAGAGTCGGGTTTGGTATTTGTAAAACAGATGAAGCCAGGATGTACTCATCACGCTGGGTCAACCCTCACTTTATCTTTTATTCTGGAATTTCTGAATTCAGCTTTTGTTAAAATGGCCTTAGGAAGTTGAATGATTCCTTCAAAATGTAACAGAGTATGGTCAGTATTGCAGTTCTCTGACTTAATAAACTTTCCTAATACAAATATTGGCAGTCATCTATTTATTTGGTCTATTTAATCCCTTGTTGAACCATTTTGTGTAGTTTTGGCATGTATTCTGTGACCTCTTTTCTCGGATTTATGCTATGTTGGAATTAATGGTGTTTGATGATAACATGTTAGTAATGGTGTGTTTACCTTTTTTTGTCTGAAATGGAAAAATCTAATTACTTTCCTCATTTTTACAATGTAGATACAATACTTACAATATAATGTGATATGAAATCAAACTTCATTCAATTGTAGCGACTTTTCAAAAACAAAGAGAATGCAGAAGAAAAAACTTTTTGTTTGTAGTGCAGGGAAAGATTGGGGGTGTTGATAGAGAGGTATTCATGATGCCAATTGGCCAAGGAGACATAAAATGGTCACATTTATAAAATGTGTTCCCAATTATCCATTAATGCAAGAGGACTGTGAAGCGCCCCCAAAATGTAAGATACTGCCCCTATAGAAGCAGAGGCAATGTTTTACTCTCCCTGAAGTAAAAGGCTAAATGTTCCTGTGATTTATACATTATATCAAGAAAAATAGACTTAATCCAGGTCTGTTACAAGCAAATTTAATCTAATGGAGCACCTCGCCTCTTTTCACCTGTCCTTAATAATAATACTGGGTTCCTTAGTCTTGAAAACAGTGTCCTTTACTTTTTCAGTCTATTGAAATCACTTGCATGCTATACTGTTTACTTTTTTAAACATGGAAATACTAGGACTAAAGCATAGTTGTCTGAAATAGTATCAGCTCTGTTTCAATTATGACAACATATGTTATTTTATGGTTATACGGTATGGTATATGGTATCTGAAGCCTGTTATTTACATACATTTAGTATATATATATATATATATATATATATATATATATATATATATATATATATATATATACTTTAAATGTACAATTGCTAATTTCCTATCTCAGTTATCCTTTTGGATAAGAATGCTGTATAAATAAAATGATTACTTCTGAAAAGGATCTAATGTTTTAGTTTTCTGTGTGTAACATGAGAGATGTTACTATTTAAAAGATGTTGAAATCAAAGCTATGCACATTAGAATCGAAAGATAAAGTTTCACAGAACATTATAAAAGATTAAATTATTATGGTGCAGCTATTAAACAGCCAGCTATTAAACAGAGTTTCCCATAAAGCTCAAATCTTTGTTGACTTTGGAGAAAGCTCATTAAATAGGGAATCAGTAGTGAGAGAGGAAGAACAGCTGCAAATCCTCTTTTGAGTAGAGATTTTGATGATTCTTTCCATTGTTACTGAGTGTAATCTAAAAATATTTTCAATCAATGTTTATATATTTGTAAAAATTAAACATATTTAACAAAGAGTTTCAGCTCGAGGAATCAAATTATTTTAGAATAATTTACAAGTTTTAAGAGAGGCTGTTACTGCCGTATTAGTGCATTAAGGTTGATCCTCCCAAAAACAAATTAAACCACCCTTTTAATCACTTTCTGTTTTCCTCTGGGGGCTTTACTGCTGCTTTAGCTTGAGTCTGCTAAAGTTCTTGAGTGTTCTGTTTAAATTCTGCTTCTGAGGCTCTAAATGTTTCCTTTTTCTGTGTTGCCTGTAATAATCCCTTGTTGTCCTCAGCAACCCTGAGCTTCTCTCTGATTGCCATGTCGACATGACTCTGTTCAAGTCCTTCTCAGATACTAACTGTACTCTTAGTGACTGTTTTGCAGTGCAATCTTCTTTTTACATTTTCTTGTGGTTTCAGTTTGGGAGAGGTTGGCTCAGTGTCACGATGCGAGTGTCTCAAAAATAATGATACCAAGAAGATTTACCATTTCACTGTGTCTGACTTGTGTTTATGCTACATGAATATCATGTAGCATGTCACACAGGAGTTTATCTTAATGTGCATCTCACTATCCAGTTTAATCTGTCAGTTTGTCTTTCATTTCCGTTTGCCCATGCAGAAACTAACTGTAAAACAGATCTCCTTGTCTTCCTCCTTAACCTTTTAACAGTAATATCAAACAATGCTTTTGCAGAGTTTAATGTATACCGGTACTATTCTCCAGTACTCGTTTGTCATTTTGGAAGAAAAAAAAGACAAACTCGAAAGGTTCAGCTCTCAAATATTTGTTATTAATACGGTAAGCTATAATGTCTACAAAAAAGTTTTGACAACAGGAGACATTTTTAAGTACTTCACAAAAGCAGGTTTAATAAAACCAGACTAAAATACTCAACTCTGAATTGATCTAGCCTGAGGTCGGAAACTGAATTTTTGATGTCATAAAAGCTGCTGTGTGTTAGTTTAATCAACACTGAGTAGCTCCAATCAGCTGCAAAGGGGAGGGAGATGGAGCAGAAGAAGACTGGATCTCAAATTTATGCGTAGGTTTTAACATTTATTAAAAGCTCTCTCCCCTTTGTTTAGAATTACATTCCAAGTCAGAACTGCAATACCAGATTTTTCTAAGTTACATTTTTGCAGCAGAAACTGAATTTCAGAAAGTAAAAAAAAATAAATGGTACTGGTAAGAATTACATTTTATATACCTAGAAATGTTTACACTATTTTATCAGCTTGACTGAATATCTATTTATGATATCTGAAATATATTTCTTTCTGATCAAAATAATACAAATTATGACTTGCAGCAATAGTAATATGCAGATCTGAAATTGATTTTTTTGGACATCCAGAATGTTTATTTTAAATATGAAGAATGTAATTTTGTTTAAAATGTAAGTTTAGACAAGAAATATATATTTTAGATGTAAAAAATACCCCTTCAAACTAATAAATATCAGATAGCCTGTCACAGTCTGTTTTAATCATGATAACATTACAGTGGAAAACCAGGTTACAAATTGTGTGGTAGTGTATCATTGCATTATATTTAAGTGAAATCTCCCGGGAGATAAGCACACCTGTCAGCATCATCAGTGCAGTCCAAAAACAGCTAGATCTGTGCATCATCTCATGGGGTTCCTCCTCATTTTAATTCTGTACAGTAAATACTAAAAATACTGAATGACTGTGCAGTTTTTTTTTTCTATAAAGCTGTTATCACACATCAATGTGTTCTCACCGATATCAATTTCTGGTAAATATCTGTTATAGAAGTCTGTGTAATGCTGCTAATGTGAGGATGGTTAAGGTTTTGAATATGTGATGGATTGTGAGGTGAAACAGTGGTGCTCATAAAGACAAATTTCTGCATATAAGGGACATCTATATCGGTCTAATAACCCTCTCTAATTTTTTGTCAATTAATGTCGCTCATTCTTTAAATAGATCCTTGGCAAAAGGACATGCTATGTTTATGTTTTTAACACCTAATGTGTCTAACGGACTTAGTGAATTATTTTTTATTGTTCGCACAAAACTACAACAGAACTCGACTGTTTTATTTCCTGACTAAATCAGGAAATAAAACAACGTGATTGGCTCTTAGGAGGGCGGAGACAGAGAACACAGTTTATTGAGGTAAACCTGCTCCCTACCAGGTAAGCTCTGGGGAGAATGTTACTACTGCGACAGATGCTGAAATTGAGGACTCTCTTTATGAAAAAGAAAGCTCATAGTTTCCCTAGTTTTAAGCAAACCTGCTTTTTAAACCAGGAGGCCCATTACAATCCCTTTTTTTTCTATGTCCTATGATCTGTAACTCTGATTCTGTCTGCATAGTTCTGTTTCTGTGCCAAGGTTCCAGATTCTCACCTTCCCTCTCCTTGGCTCTATTCAGTGACACTTTTTATGTCCCGAGATCAAAGAGCCCTGTCTGTCCCCTGCCAAAGAACAAGCACCTACATTGCTCTGTTCACCTGTCTCATTTGAGCCTCAATAGACTTGCTCTTGGAGTCACCCAAGCCTGCAGTGATGTCACCACTGCTCTGAGATCTGCAGAGAATCTACAACATCTTCCTTCCCCTTATCACGGATCCTGAGACAGTTGGTGTCTTTTTCTCTGAATGAACTTTTAAAATGGAGAATAAATTCACACTAACAAGATCTGTCCTTTTCAAAATTCCTGTCTCCCTAAATGCTTTCCTGCAGCATCTGCTCAGTTATTTGAATGCATCATTTTTCTGTTGTGTCTGGCTGAATTTTGGGTCCTTTTTCTGACGCTTTACAGTTTTTTGCCTATTCAGGAGCTCTTTTGGTCAGATTTATTAAAACAAGGTTCTTATCAAAAAGGGACAAAAAACAACAAACAAAAACACTCTTGACTATTAAATTTACACTTTTAATCAATCTTTATAATATGGAGCCTACTTTTCATGGGCAAAATTAATAGTGATTTATTAATGTGTTTAGATCATTTTTATTCTCCATACAGTCCACAATTTTTTCCTGTTGAATATTTAACGTTTCATCCCTAGGCGGCAATAATGGGCACATAAAGATAATGAACTACAAGAAATAAACTTTTTTTATATATATATTTGTGCAGGAGCTTGTAACCCACATGTTTCCATCACTCATATACTGTGAATATGAATGCAGACTATGGTAATTTACTGTACGCTATCTTTAATTCTGAACCAAAAAAACATTGTCATTCAATTTTTTTTTAAATAAAAATATACATTGTATTACAAGTTTTGAGGTAAAAATTGGTGAAATTAGTCAAGCAAAAAGCTTGGGTCTGATGTTAACAGAAGTGCGGGAACTCTTAGTAGTGACCCATAATATATGTAAATAACATATAAATTATGAATGTTAATGACAAAAAAAAAAAAAAAAAAAAAAAACAGTCCTAATTGTCTTATTTTACAGACCTTCATTCAAGACAATCAGCTGAACAGAATAGAGTAGATCCCGGGACTCCAAATGTTTTATAAAAAGCCTAAACAGAGCCGAAATCTGCTACTTCATTCATTTGCTCCAGGTATACAAAATATCCACAGAGAGGACTGTGTTGTCCTACTGGTATAAAGTACTTCTAACTGTAAATATAAATGTCACAAACAGTAGAGACACTTGGCATATGTTCTAAATTTTTATTTTGACAATCAAAGATAAACAGCTGAAAAAAAGATAAAATCTCTGAATACTGTTGATAATGTGTAAGGAATATAAACATTTCCTTTTGAGGCATTTGTGTTTTGTAAATGAATATGATTTAAATGTTTCTAGTTTAAAGTGTTTATGCATTTTCTATTCATCAACATGTGTTTCAGATGCTTACTAAAGTCAATCAGAAGAAAAAGTAAATTTTTAATACTGTAGTTGATTTGATGGTAAGGAATTTTGGGATATATTCTTCATATTGCCAAAAGTATTCACTCACCTGCCTTAACTGACGTGGGTTTAATTGGTCTATAGGGGTTCAATATGATGTCTGCTGATCTTTTGCAACTAGAACAGCTTCAACTCCTCTGGAAAGGCTGTCCACCAGCTTTAGGAATGTTTATGAGGTCAAACACAGATGCTGGATGAGAAGGCCTGGCTCTCATTCTCTGCTTATTTCATTCCAAAGGTATTCCATCAAGTTGAGGTCAGGACTTTGTGCAGGTCTGTGAAGTTCATCCACTCCAGACTCTGCCATCTTTGTTTTTAAGGCCCTTGATTAGTGCACAGCCATGTTGGAAGAGGAAGGGGCCATCTCCAAACTATTTACAACAAAGTTGGAAGCATGGAATTGACCAAAATTTCTTGGTATTTAAAAACTTTCAGAGTTCCTACCCAACACCACAATGCCCCCTCTACCAAACTTCACACTTGGTACAATGCAGCCAGTTCTCCTGGCAACTGCCAAACCCCGACTAGTCCATCAGATTGCCAGATGGAGAAGCTGCTGTGGAGTCCAGTGGTGATGTGCTTTATACCACTGCATGCAACGCTGTTCATTGCACTTGTTGATGTATGGCCTAAATGCAGCTGCACGACCATGGAAAGCCATTCCATGAAGCTCTATGAACACTGTTCTTGAGCTAATCTGAAGGACACGTGAAGTTTGTAAGTGTGTATTGATTAACTGCAGAAAGTTGGTGGCCTCTTCTCACTATTCGCTTCAGCATCTGTGGACCCCGCTCCATCAGTTTAGGTGGCCTGCCAATTAATGTCCCAAACCTGTTCCATGTTCTTATGATACAGCTCAAATTTAACAGTGGAATATTTCACGACTTGATTTGTTGCACAGGTGGCATTAGAGTTTCACGCTGGAATTGACTGAGCCCCTGAGAGCGACCCATTCTTTCACAAATGTTTGTAAAAACAGTCTGCATGCCTAGGTGCTTGAATTTATACACCTGTGGCCATGGAAGTGATTGGAACACCTGATTCCAATCATTTGGATGGGTAAGCAAATACTTCTGGCAATATAGTTCAGTATGTTTAACCTTCCAGATATTTGCAGTGAATCCAAAAGGAAGTGCTTTTTAGAGTTTTGAAATACAGTCTGGAATGTTGTGGTTTACAAATGAAAATGCTGAATTTGTAAAGAAACTAAATAAAAAAAAAACACAGATAAGCTATGCAGTGCAGATATTCATACATGCAAAGTGAGGCATGCCATTGTACTTCCTCTCTATTCAAAAATATCCAACAGCTCAGACTCGCCTCCAGTATAAATACACTATTTGTGTACACATTCAATAATAGACATAGAAATGTATGATGCTTACACACTTTTCCTTAGGAAAAAAGAATAAACAACTTTTACCATGCAAGAGAGGTAATAGGTTTTATAGGTGTCAACATTTTTGAGGATGCTGGAAAAAGTACAACATATACTGGAGCTCCTCTGGTAGAGCCTTTCTTAAGGACACACTTTAATTAAGTCAATATAAGCACAAAACATGCTGTTGCATAGAAAGTGACAAATGCAGGAGCCCCAGAGTTACGATGGGTACAAGAAGCTCAGATATTTTAAACACTGTATGAGGTTGCATGGTGATAAAGTGAGAATGCACTATGTTTCAGTCTGTGAGGTCCAGGCACCATGACTGCTCAGTACTCTGAGTTTGACCACCAATGCTGGACCTTCGTGATGAAATGCTCTCGCTGTCCCTACTTTCCATAGAGTCCCTGTTGCCCAGCAGACACTCCAAACTGGTGTGCTTTGAAGCAGAGGGGTTGCTCAGTGTGAGACAGGCCGCTGAAGCATCCAGCTGTGGTGATCCTGAATCTAGAGAGGAGACGGACGGCTGGCAGGCTAAAGCTGTAGCTGAGGAAGCTTCAAAGGGTAGAGAGGATTGCGAGTCATGGATCTGGAAGATCGAGGAGTCTTGGGCTGGATTGTGACCCAGTAGCTCACCAGAAGTTTTAGATGACGGCTCGAGCAAACTGTGTGTGGATGTACCTGCAGGAGCAGTGTACAAAAGGCTGGAGAATTCATCACTGTCACTGGAAGTGTGCAAACATAAGGTGGGATGCGACTGACTGATGGAACTTGGACCAGAACCAAGAGGCCTGGGCTCATCCTGATTTGCATGACATCCTAGCTTAGGACTTCCACCGCTGTAGCTTGGATTGATATGAAACAGAGATGGGCTGGTCCATACTGGTGAAGTCATGCTCTCCGTGCTATGGTGTGGTCCTACATTAGGCGATGAGTTTTCTGATAGCCTCAGACAAGCATTAGTGATTGGTATTGCAGAATGGCGGCTGTCTTTATGGGACGCAGGAGTTTTGCTGTAGCTCCAGTGCACAGCAGCTGGTTCACTTTGGTGTCCATAGGTTTTGAGACTTTGGGGACTGGTATAAATGCAGTGGGCCGAGGATATAGGGCTGGACAATGTATGAACAGGCTGAGGACTTGAAAGGAAGGAGGTTTTCTGGTGGTGATTCAGAGACATGTGAGCCTGGAGGAGATTCATCATGTGGTGAAGGCTCTTGGTTAGTTCTGATACTTCGTGGTTTAACGTCCCCACCTGTGTAGAGTACATAGGTAAGTTACCACTTTTAATTTTGTTTTTACAATAACACTGAGTAGATAAAGCAAAACATATATAAAGGAATAGTTTAGGATAAATCCATGGAAAATATAGACCAGTTGGTCCTGGAGGCTGAATACCCAAAGAGGGGCTGAAGTTAAAATGGATTTCTACAGTTCTAAACCAACCTCAATCTCAAAAACAGTATACGGTAGACAATGTGGGAAATGAAAAATTAATGCCATTGAATCTAAACCTTTGTGCTTCATCATAATTTAATAGCTCAACCTTGGAAGTGTCTTACTTTAAATCACAGAATAAGACTTCTAGCCTCACCCAAACAAGATAAATGGGAAACTGATAAGAATTTACTGAAATAGGCACAAAACAAGAGAAAAGTATTAATTTTTAAAGGATTAAACAAAGATTTAGTTGGAACCATAGGGGACAATCAACTTCAATTTGATAATCAAAGTGAAATAGTGTTTCTTATCAGGATGAAAAAGGTCTCAACCAAATTTACGTCAGAAATCCTAAATATTATAAGTTCTATAAGTCTTCTCGGGGATGAATTAGTCAGTATGTATGATTGAGGTCAGCTTAGTACCTTAAATTTAAATATAACCTGATGATCTCCTTATAAGAGAAGACAAAATGATTGTTGATTGATGAAAGAGAGAAGCTTGGGTCAGGTGAACAACATTAGAAATGTACCGGCATAATCTTTTTCTTATGTATTGTTGAGTCAGCATTCCTGATGTTCCTGCATTGCAGAAGTACCCTGCTGATTAATTAATATTGACTCCTGACAGCACCTTGCTGGGCCCATCTGGATGCTTACTTTGCAACTAATATAACGCTATATACAGTACAAGTGCATGCAAAGCCTGACCGAGGCATAGGGGGACATAGTTTTATCTAAGGATGACAAGTGTCAGTGATACAACACCATACATTGCCTACAGCACCTTCACACTTATTCGTGCCACTGGTAACTGTAAGGTAAAGTTACAGTTGAAGTATCACTGAAAAATAGTTAATCTTTTGATACCCCTTACAGTTCCCATAGAAAAAATATCATCTAGTATATAAGGCCCTTTTCTTTAAATCAACCCTCAAAATGTAACATAGAAGAGAGCAAGCCACTTCAGTTGGGCAGAATTTGGTCTTTAAAGTCAGGTGTTTGCTATGTGAAAAGGGCCTCTATTTTTGCCTAGATTTAAAGACATATGAAAACTAAATGTAAACTGGAACTGTGACAAACAAGGCTGGATGAGGGTCCTGTTTGTCTCGGTGCCACAGAGTGCATAAGGGAGGTAAAGATATCCCCAAAGCTAACAGTCTGAGAAACCAGCGACTGAGATACTAAACCAGAAAATTTTGTGAAAAGTATTTTCTGATATTTCATCATTTTTGTAAACCAGAATATAAAATAATTATTGATCTAATTATTTATATTTCTCATTAGCTTGGGATGTAGAAGAACAGAGAGAGAAAGTGAAGTTTGACTGGGAATGGCCTGGAGCCGCCATGCCATGACCAAAGCCCAAAGCCCAACCCAAACATGAGTGCGGTTTCCAGCCTCTATCGTTTAGAGCCACTGGCTTGTAGCTTTTAGATGCATTTTTGCCTTAAGACAACTGAACGAACTGGCTGAATTATCCTTTTCAGCATGTTATCGGGTCCTATATTTGAATCTCAATGAGCTTCACACATATAGTGTGTCTGACTTTAAATAAAGCATGAATATGTGAATAAAGCACCCCTAGAGCATTCACACACACACATATGTATATATATATATATATATATATATATATATATATAATTGGAAAAAAATAAATAAAATTACTTACCTTAAGATTTAACTGAACTATGCTTTCTTTGACGTCCTCCGTCTCCTGCAGCAAAGTGGCATTTGATTGTAGGGTTTCTGGAAAAGGATGAAAAAAAAAATTAAAAATACTCCATAGAAAGCTTAACTGAATAATAATTTAAATTGAACAGCATGGCTCAATACATTTTAAAAAGCTGAAATATTTGCCAAAAAATGAACAATCTACACAATGGCCTGAAAAGGGGCATGCATATTTTCTTTTTTATTCAAAAAAGCATTTGAAATCTGTTGAGTCATGTGTATCATGGTCTGTGTAAATAACACAAAACAGTAAAAGCAGGATTCTGTGAACTCTGCAATGTAACACCATACTGATCCACATCAATACATTAATAAAACGAATACTGATGCAATTATATTGATGCTAAATAAAAACAATGATCCTTCTCCTCAGCTTTTAGATGCACCCTAATTTTAAAATTTACAAGACACCAGGAAATAGCGAACCGCTGATGTATTATGATGTATTATGCCTGATGCCTGTGAAAACAGAGAAACAAAATGGCAAAATAATTTTCGAGTTGATTGTCTTTAATTATGAGTTGCTATAAATGTCAAAAATGATGTCTAATAGACAGAGGATAGTGCATATCAACTCAAGACTTCTGAATTGAACTTAATGGAAATAGCAGATTTAGTGATATTGGCAAACATTGTATCATCATCCAAATCGATACAACATCACAATGTCATAAGTAGCTGGTGATTTACACCATTATAAAATAAGCCTGAATCCACATTTATTGTGCTGTAGCAAGAAATCAGATGAGCGAATTTAGAAAACTATGCATCTTCAATGCTCATTTTAAGCACACTATCTGCCCTTTTTACTAAATCAACAATACAAATTGCACTCACTGTACAACATGCAGAAGCTAACACGCTAATTTCAGTCCAGGATATACAAGCAATATGCAGTGATTCTTGGCTCAAATTGCAGATCTCTCAAAATTAGGTGGCTAAAGTAATAAACAAAGAATTGACAGACCCTAATAAGACTCCCAAACTCCAAAACATGATATAAACATGCTGCAAACAGAATGCTATGCTATTTCCTCTAGATTTAATTCACATAAATGTAGGGCAATATGCAAAGAATTCTTACTGAATATATTTTTGATACTTTAGTTAAATATGGGAAAACATTGTCAAAGCTAATATTTACTTAGGAGCCCTAATTTAAATGATTTTATTTCAATGACCAAATTTCAAAAACTCTGGCTATTCTGTTGGTACAAAAGGCTTTCTAACATTACACCAGAGTTTGCAATTAGGACGAAAAATATACCAGCTAAATAATGACAATGCATGATAACTTGTATTTGTACTTTTGTATCAGGTAGCGATTTAGACTGCTATGTGAATTGAAAATAAAACAAAACACATTTTCCGAGCTTACCTTGGTGGTAGACCAGTAAGGGTACCCAGTAGTCCACCACTGAGGTACAATACAGTGTCCCTCAGTAGACTATCACATACTGTTCTATCTCAGTAAACAACTACAGGGGAAAGCAGCCATTGAAATACTAAAAAGCATAAAAGTTGCTAAACAACTTAAAGGAGAGGTTCATAAATATCCACATTTCCCTGCTGATTACTCTGCATTCATTAGAGACTGGATCACGAAGGGCTGTGCAGTCAAATCTCCTGAGGACGACCTTGACCTCAATGATGGAAAAATGTGGTACTTTTTTGACTATAAGCATCCTACAAATTACCAACATTAAGCTACCAGCTGCTTCAGCAACCATAACTGAACAACACTTTGCTCTGCATCATCAATAGATTCAGGTAAGAGGAGGTGGCTGTCAAAGAGGATGCCGGTAAAATGTTTTACCAAGTGAGGCACCAGACAAGGATGCAGAAGTTCTCTGTGTTCTCTGTTGACCCTCTGGTGACATCAGGCAAGACCTTACTGAGTATGAGAGTGCACATACCTATTACCTTCAATAATTGCCCTGAATCTGATCACTCAGAAGAGGAGGCACTGTCCTTGCCTTCCCTATGAACTGAAAGACATCCTTGCTCCAGGAGGATTTAGGCTCACTAAGTGGGTTTGCAACAGCCGCTCAATCCAATCTGCTCTCCCTGCTAAGGAGAACTGAGGAGCCAAGGGAAACAGACACTCTTGACCTAGACAAGCTCCCTGTCAAGCGAGCCTTAGGATCCTGTTGGTGTTGTTGTAGAACGACAGTTTCAAATTCAAGATTGTTCAAAAACTAGATCACCCACAAGAGGAGGCATCCTCTCTGCAGTTGGCTCAGTCTATGACCCGCTGGGAATTCTTGCACCAGTGGTCTTAAACCCTAAAGTGCTCACATAATATGCGCTCGGAAAATGAGCCGACCGTCATAGCGTCTGCAGCATTTATGCACTGTGTGACTTTCCCTCCATTATGGACGGCTCCAGATACACCACACGAGGAATTTGAAAACAGCCAATTACAACTTTTTTAAAGCCTCTTCATGCCGTCCAATAGCAGCACTAATTTCTTTCCAGGAGTTTTTCCACAATATGTTGATAGTAGTGGTATTTATGAGCCAAATCACAGGATCACTAGATGTTTACATTTGCGAGCCCTGGCCAGTAGGAGCAACTGCTCCCTCGCCATGTTTTTTAACACAGATCTGTACACGTAGTTAACAATGTTACTAGGTATCCGATGTCAAAACTCTTTCCACACGGATCCCACACAGAGAGGTGTTGAAGCCTAAAATTATATAATTTTTTAGCGTGGACTTCGCAGACGCGTCAAGCATAAACCACACTTGAGAGGTTCCTCCAAGAACTCTGACATCTCAAGAGTATTAAGGCCATTCCCCGACACCTTGTCCAACAATAGATGAGCTGGATGGAGAACCTTAGGAGTGTCTTGGAGTTTCAAACCCAAAGGCTTTGTGGATGCATTTTTCAATCAGTGCATCACTCTGTGGATGCTAGCCAAGAGGGCTTGTGTGAGGTGAAAGCCATAATAAAGGGCCATCCAATAACCAAGGCTTCTGATGAACCTTCTGACCTGAAAGCTCTTACTCCAAACCATCTCTTGCCCCTCACTTAAAGTTTTTCCTACCACCAGGTTTCTTTGAGAAAGAGGACTACTCCCACAGGAGAAAGAACAAAGTACAATGTAGTGCAAACATATTGCAGGACATGACAATATCTTCTTCAGCACCTGGACGGGTGGTAATGAACTTGTGCAACTCAGTCAACTTCACTCAAAGGAGTTGTGGTTCCAATCATTGATTATCCAAAACTCCTAGGTCCTAGGCAAGATTGCTTAAGCGGTTCCTGGTAAGGTTGGTCTGGTGAATTGAGTTTGAGTAGTGGTAAAGATTATCCTCCTTTTGTGTGTAAGTGTTGGTGACCTCTGAAGCTAGTTAATGTTTTTTTTTATTTTTGTCATTACACTGTCACAAGTACAGAGTTACGAAATTAACTCTGCATTTAACCCATTCCCTTGGGAAGCACTGGGCTGCCATTGTGAGCTGCCCAGGGAGCAGTGTGGGGGTCAAGGGTCTTTGCACAGGGACCCAGAGTAGCAGTCTGAGGGAGCGGGGCTTGAACTCAAAACCTCTGGATTCCAAGCTCAATGCCTCAACCACTAGGCCTCCACCCCCCATGATTAATGATTATTTGGTTTCAAATACCTTTTTCTATTTTGGTCTTGTTTGTTGTTGTTTTTTGTGGCAATTGTCTATAGTTGGAAAATCTACACTCACCCTAGAAATACTGCTATGATCAGTAAAAACTAAAACACACTTAGGACCCTGTTCTTTCCTCATTTGTCCTTTAACATGTTCTCTGACTCTGTGGACACCTGGCAGTCTGTTATTTCTGCTGCGCTCTCAGATTTCCCCAGAAGGATGCAGGTCTGCCTCAAATGCATCAACAGTGTGAACTCTTCGGTATACCTCTAGGCCATCTGGCCTTCAGGTCACCCTCCCAGCTGGGGGTGGTGTGTCTTACCTTGGTTGATGCCACCTGTTCTGGAGTTAGGCTTGCTGTGCTCCACGGTGAAGTGGAACGTGTGCCCGTTGTCTTCGATGCCATCTACAACCCTGATAGGAGGGATGAGATGGAGAGCATGGGTTAATGTTACAGTAGAGCTTTTTCAATTATCATCAGAGACACAAGATGACCCAAGAATGTGCCATGAGAGCTGCAGCTGGCAGAGGCCCATGTGGGTTTCGATGTAATGAGTTGAGCCAAGTTTTGATGAGATGAGATATTTGAGCTCTATGAACTAGCCCTTACCCATATGTGGAGCTTCCTTTGTAATGCATTATAGATACAGATGGTGGGGGCAGCAAGACAAGTTGCTCTAGTAATGAAATACAGTGGCATCTCCTGTAATAATTTATGTAAGATAAATCCCATTTACATTAAAGAAACAATCCAGATTTGTACTATAGAATCCCTGTTTTGATGGCATTGAAACACTTCATAGGATCTTAGAAATGGCATTTTTAATATCTTGCCACAAACTAAGGATGAAAACGAGGCTTTTTGGTCAATTCTGGCATATTGTACCCTAGTACTGTTATGTTAACATCCATTGTCTTTTAATGATAATGTTTTAAAATTAAACAAAATTAAGAAATTCTATTGTAACCCTCTGAATGTCCCTCATGCTTCCTACAATTTATCGCTCTCAACAGACACTAAACCAAAATTAACCCCATCCTTCAAACCTTAATGATTAAAAGTAAAATATACCTGGGACTAAGGTCCGGAGGTGGAAAACATGTGACTGTTGGGATAAGCAACTTTGCCGGCTTTTGGTCAGTCTCCGACTCTCCCTTGGCTGTAGTTGAAGACTGAGATGGAGTGGATATATTGGTGCTGTGCTCTTTCTTTGAAGGTGGTTGAGGTGATAAGCTTTGTCCAAGAAATCCTCGACTGAGGTTTGGTGAACGGCAACGTCTCAGGGCATTGAACTGCCGCAGTTCGTCACCTAACAGGTTTCCCAGAGAGGTACGGCGGACTGGGCTGGTGAAATTAGGTAGCAAGAGATTGCGTCTGGAGCGTGTTGCTGGAGAGAGCTGGAAGGCATCATCGGGGTCATCAGTCTTCGTCTCCACAATAGAAGGGAGCTTTGGTGACTGCTAGAAAGGGAAACAATGAGAAGATTCAGTATATTGAACAAATGAGAGAGGTTTATTCTGGGTTTGCTTTTTATGCTTTTAGACAGTCACATGTATCTTACAAGGTGATGATTTTATTCCCCATGAGAGAAGCACATTCTTCCTAAACAGATTTGGGTGTGCCCCTTTCGTAGCAAAAACTATTATCAAATGCTAGCATATTTGATTTGATTTGACATCACTGATGTCAGGTGTGTCCCTCTGGGCATTACAAACAGCAATTATCAAACATTGTTGAAAAAGATAAACTTGGACAAATTGGTCCTTCAGGACTATAGACCCATCTCTAGACATCCAAAGTACCAAAACTAATTTCTGGGAGATTACCATCAATCCATTCTCAACAATGACCAGCTGCTTTGATGTCTTCCAGTCAGGTTTCTGTGCCACCACAGTACAGATACTGCCCCGATTAAGCTGTTCAATGACATCCATATAAATTCAAGACTCTGAAAGAACTACATTGCTGGTATTATTGGACTTCAGTTCAGCATTTAATACTGTTGGTTACTTAATTTGTAGACGTGGGCCCACCTTTCTGGTTCAGCACTGGACTGGTTAAAACCCTACTTGAAGGACAGGGACTTTAATGTGTCAGTAGGGAACTGTAATCATAGACCAGAAAAATCTCATGCGGGGTTCCTCAGGGCTTCAATGTGGGGCCCCTACTATTCAATGTCTACGTGATCCCTTTAGCTCAGATTATAGCAGACAACAACATCAGTTACCATAATTATGCAGACGATACACAGCTTTACATCACATTGTCACCAGGTGACTATGAACCCATCAGAGGGTTGCCAACTGAATAAAAACAAAACTGGGGTAATAGTCTTTTGAGTAAAGGAGGAGAGATCCAGAGTTAGCACACAGCTTCAGCTATCACAGAAACCACCAATTATGGCCAAAATCTTGGTTTTGAGAGAGAACCTTCACAGGCACATAAAGGCAGTTATTGAAGCCTCTTTCCCACTGAAATTAGGGGGTTAACCCAGGTTTTTTAAACACGGGTTGACCTGCTAAAAATCTGCATTTGGCTCCCTTCCCATTGGCAATAAATGCTGGGTCTGATCCCCCGCTAACAAGCTGAGTGGCCTCTGACCCCTGCAAGTCTGATGATGCCATCACCTAGGTTAGTGTTGATGATGTCACCAGAGCAACAGAACTCACAAAAGGCAACAATGGGAAGAACCATGTCCCTCCAAATCTCTCTTACCAGTATTGTGCCATGTGTATCGAATGTAAGCCAAGTTGTTTTGGGTTTTAGATCAGACGTCACTTTTGCTGTGTTTATTGTTCTAGTTCTAGTTCAAGCCTACTCTATACATCGAGAACTAGAACCAAACATGGAGAAGCAGCATTTAGTTCCTATGCTCTTCTTATCTGGAAGAAACTTTTAGATGACTGTTTTTTTATTTTTCTTTTATTTTTTTTGTTTGTTTTTTTATTTTATTTATAAAAAAAAAAAAGCTTAACTTCTTTAAGTCAAAGTTAAAAACCCAATTGTTTAGAGCTGCCGTTGACTGTTAAACTGTTATCTGAGGTATTATTAGTTAAAGGTTGTGTCCGAACTGTTTTATTTGTTTTATTATCATGTGCTAAGCTTTATTTGCCTTTACTCTGTTTTGGTTTTACTATAGATCAATTCCTCAAATCACTCCCGAAACTCCCAGTAACCTGCAATCAATAGAGTCAGCAATATGACCTTAGATTTAGAAATCAAAGGAAAAGTTGGGTGAACTTACGGTGCAAGATAAAAAAAAAAT